AAAAAAAAAAAAAAAACCTTCCAGCGCTGCCCTGACGAACCAATAAATAAATAAAACCCGACCGCCGCCCCGCCCCAAGGTGCCGCCCCAAGCACGTGCTTGGTCGGCTGGTGCCTGGAGCCGGCCCTGGACGCAGCTGCGCAGCTTAGAGGGAACTTAGCTATGGGGGCTTCCGTAAGGTCTTCTCTACAAACAGATTTGCACTGATTATACTTAAACCAAAATCAGTACCCATACAGGAGTTTGCATGGGATTAGCTAACCTGGTTTAAGAATGGCTTATTTTGGTTTAGACCCAGGCTATGTCTACACTGGCAAATGAATGACAAAACTTTTGTCTTTCAGAGGTGTTTAACCCCCCCCCAAGACACAAGTTGTGCTGCGACAAGCACCGGTGTGAACACAAACGTTGCTCATTGGGGGTGGAAGTTTTTTGTCAGCAGGAGAACTGACAAACAGTGGCTACACTGCACGATTTTTAGCGGCATGGCTGTAAGCTGTGTAGTGTAGACATAACCTAAACCTGTTCCCGATGAACTTCAGCTAAGCCACACTCAGCATGCTTTAAACTGAACTCAGACCATGCACACTGGTTTGGAACAATATAGCATGCTGCCTTTCAGTAAACTGCCATGACCTGGTGTATACACAAGCCCTTGGTTCCCCAGTTTGATTCCTGCTTGCATAGCCCAGAGGTGGGAGAGGTGCCAGCTGCCAGCCTGTCTCTGCTTTGAGCATGGGAGTTGCACACTGTCATCCCACTGGGAGAGTCTGGCACAGGCCCCAGCACACTCCCCACAGCCAGAGGGAGTGCTGCCCACCGACAGGGTTCCCCAGGGGGCAGCATGGAGTCTGTGATGGAAGAAGCAACCTCCAGCCGCAGAACAGTCTCATCCAGGCCAGGACTGTTGCCTATTCAGTCAGCCCGGTTTAGGAGCCTAGAACCAGGTCAGCCCCATGCCCCAGAAGATTCTGAAGAAGCCTCACGTGTGGGGGCTGTCACGGGCATCCTCACATTCCTCCTGTCTAGTCTCCAGTGCCTGCTTACTGCTGCCACTGAAGTGGCAGGGACCAAAGGTTTGACCAGACGCACTAATAATGTCTCTTGCTCTCCCCAGCCACCCCCTTCAGGGGAGGGAGAAGTCTCTTGCTCAGAGGCAGGGGCTGTCTGCCTGAAGCAGCCACAAGAGTCTCTGAGGAGGATTGCATTAGGCATGTGTTCTCTGCTCTGGCCACCTCCCCTATAAGAGCAGTGATGCCAAAGGCTTGCCCCTGTTCCTTGGGGACCAAGACCAGGAGAAAATGCTCCCAGTGCATCCTTTGGCACAAAAGATCCTTGAATCGGAGCTTGTGTCCTGCAGTAGATGGAGAGCAATGGCAAGTAGAGACAGGCTGTGGGGGAGCAGTCATGGCCTGAGACTGCAGAAGAGCTCCCTTCTGAGACAACCTCAGGCAGGCAGTGCTGTGCTTTTGTGTGCAGGTGAAGTAGCTTCATAATTAATGCCTTAAACGTGACACAGGAGAGAGGAGCACGGTCAGGAAGCCACAGACAGAGTGATGGCAAAGGACTGAGACACTACGTTTGATTACGTGATGGGGTTGCCTGTGACAGCAGGAGATGGACATGATGACCCAGGGACTCCCTTCCAGGCCTGTCTCCCTGTTACGTGTGTTGCCATAGTACCTAGAGGCCCCAGCCAAGATACAGTCTCTGCTCTAAAACCCTTTTCTATTTAGAGAGAGGCAGTGACTGGGCCAAGGTCATGCAGCAGAGCAGAGCTGGGGCCAGAACCCAGGTTTCCTGTATTCCAGTCCAGTGCACTGATCATTGAACTTTGCTGCCTCTTGTGATACTAACCTTGGGTGCTGGAAGGATGGCAGGGTGAGGGGGATGGGGAAGATGGTTTGGCAAGATAGTGTAAGAAGGGAGGCCAGGGGATGAGAACTGGCGTTGCAGTGAGGAGAAGGGTGGGACAGTTGAATTCCCCAGGAATGCTAGAGAAGCAGTTGGAGAGATCAGAGAATCACAGAAAGGACAGAGCCATTGTGTAACGATGCTGGTTCTGGCAGGATCCAACTGAGAGTGCCAATTCAGGACCAATAGCTTAAACCAGGGCAGTTACAGCCCAAGGCTGGGTTTTTCCACCTCTAAAGCAAAGCTAACCAAACCAGCCAGACAAAGAGGATTTTGGTCTCACCCCACTGGCTAACCACAGGTCACACAAGCAATTCCCTTAGACACTCCAGTTTCCCAGTATCACCACCAGTGCCATTCGTTATGGGGACAAATGGTTATGAAAACCAATACCCCAGTAAAAGAAAAAAGGTTCTCTCGATCCCAAAGGACCAAGCCCCAGACCCAGGTCAATATACAAATCAGATCTTACCCACAAATCACGCTGTTGCTAATCCTTTAGAATCTAAAATCTAAAGGTTTATTCATAAAAGGAAAAAATATAGATGAGAGCTAGAATTGGTTAAATGGCATCAATTACATACAGTAATGGCAAAGTTCTTGGTTCAGGCTTATAGCAGCGATGAAATAAACTGCAGGTTTAAATTAAGTCTTTGGAGTACATCCACAGCTGGGATGAGTCATTCAGTCCTTGGTTCAGAGCTTCAGTTTATAGCAAAGTCCCTCCAGAGGTAAAAAGCAGGATTGAAGACAAGATGGAGATGAGGCATCAGCCTTTTATAGTCTTTTCTAGATGTAAGAACATCTCTTTGTTCTTACTATGGAAAATTACAGCAAAATGGAGTCTGGAGTCGCATGGGCAAGTTCCTGCATACTTTGCTGAGTTACAAGGCGTATCTGCCTTCTTTCAATCGTATAGCTGATGGTCCTTAATGGGCCATCAAGCAGGCTAAGCAGAGCTAACACCAACTTGTCTGGGAGGTCTCCCAGAAGCATAGCATAAGTTTGAAATACAGACAGTATAGAGCCAATATTCATAACTTCAACTACAAAATTGATACACACATATAGACAGCATAATCATAACCAGCAAACCATAACGTTGTCTTAGACACCTCATTTGACCCCCTTTATATAAGATGTGGTGCCACTATAGGACTTTGGTTGCAGCCATGTTCTATATGGTCCCAGTTCAAATCAATAATGTGACACATGGCAAGGATGGGGAGCAGTGAATATGATGAGGA